CTCACGCCAGCCTGTCCTTGCAGATCTGGCTGACAGAGAGCGCCCGGCTCATCGCCAAGTCTGGGAGGACGGTGGAGTGGGTCACCCCGCTGGGCCTCCCCATCGTGCAGCCTTACCATCGATCCAAGTCCACAGTGGTGAGACCGCCCTTCCGTGCGCCGTGCCGGGTAGAGGCCAGCCTGCGTGGGTGCCATAGCGAGTGTTACATGTCCATGTAGTGCAGCGAAATCCAGGCAGGCGGGCGGGAGAGTGTGAGGTCCCCCCTTCCCCACTGACTCACCAGCGTAACTGACCTTTCCCACCAGGCGGGGAGGGGGAAACAGGATGAGAAATGAGAAGTGGTTCCTCCAGGTTCATGTGACTCACTGCCCCCTCCTCCCCGGCCAGTCCTTTCACTGAGAGTGGTCTCCGAATGGGGGGGGCTTGCGTGACGCTGACACGCTGGCTGAGTCAGCGCTGGGGGCCGAAGGGGGAGTTAGCAGGTGAGGTCGGGATTGTGTGGAAGAGGAATGGAGCCGGCGAGTCACCAGAGCTCAGTGACACCCCCCCACACGCACACACACCCACTCTCTCCTCCCCCCCCATGTGGGCAGAGTTCCAGCATGCCAGCTTGCCCCTGCCCCCGGAATCTGCCCCTTCTCGCCCCGCCCCGCGAGTCCTGTCTCCAAGCCGCTGGTTTTTTGAGTTGCATTTCCCAGTTCTGCTGGGGAGATAAAGGCCCCCGGGCACCTCCCTGGAAACGTGTCTGGAGAAGGCTCCTAGGCGCATGCCCGCGGGGGGGAGGGGAAGCGGAGCTCTGGTTGGGAGCCAGCCGGGCCGGTGTGTGCTGGGCTAGCGTGGTGACGGTTCCACGGGCCTGGGCCTCCCGGGGATCATGTCTACAGCTGAGTCCGGTCTCTGTGTCTCTAGCTGAACAGCGCCATCCAGACCCTGAACCTGAACGTGCACTGTGACGCCAACCAGTGAGTACCAGCCCGGAGTGCTTGGCAGGGCGCTGCGTCCCTTTCCCTCCCACTGCCGGGAGACACCCCCCAGCAGGGCCTGGCCGCTGGTCCCCACTAGGGGAGACGGGCGCTGCTGCCGGCATTCGCAGGCGCCTGCTTCCTTGCCCCTCTGCCCAGAGCGAGGCCCCGCAGAGGTCTGGGGTCGGGGGAGGAAGCTCCCAGGGGAACCCAGCAGCCTCTCTGGCCAGCGCTGGAGTGCGGGGTCCCTGGCCACCTGCTCCCTCGTGTGCAAGGAGCCCCGGCACGAGACGGGGGCGGCCCCCAGAGAGCGGGGGCC